ACACATCCCGCAGTCACATCATACTCATCTTGTAGCCATCTAACCACTCACTGAGCCACCAGTCCCGCTCTTGGGGACACTACCGGACATAGGAATCCAAAAGTACATACTCGCACAACTAAAACCACGAAGACCACGCTGTAGTCAAAACCCGACCTCAAGTCCTCCAGACTGGCCTATCACCAAAACATAGAAAACACATCTCGCTCCTCATCCATGGAATCACAAGCCGTCGATGCACAGCTGATCCCGGACGCTCAACATAACACACGAGTGAGTGAAAGGAATTCAAAGAGATACACTTCAAGATAAATCAATGCCGCACGATAAGGAAAAAAAGATGAGAAGTTTATCCTAGATGTCCTGTAGCATCTCGAAGATAGATATGGACGTCATCATACTGATCCGCAACAATCTACTAGACACTTGCTCATGACTCGTCGAAATTATGAAAATCTCTAATACCAACTTTTCATGACCCAAAAACCCAACTAGTCGTGATGGAACCTAACCCAACCCGCTAGGCAAGTCAACTAATAGTCAATACAATCCAAATGAGATTTATAAGAAATCAATGAAGAATTATCTTAACTTTTATACAAAAATCCAAGGACAAGTAAGTACAAATCAATGAAGGTTCTGAGACTTAGAATTTATAAAAGGTTGTACAGAATAAATGCATCATCTAATTCAAAATATACATAAACAGATTGGACAAAACTAGGGCTACCAAGTAACAAGTGGCAGATACATCCGGAAAGCAGGTACATCTTCAACGCCAGCTCCCACCATACACAGCAGCATCAACTCCAAGATCTGCATGCGAGGTGCATAAGTGTAGTATGAGTACAACTAACCCCATGTACTCAATAAATAACAAACCTAACCTCAAGTTGAAAGCAGTGACGAACTTTGAATAAGGTCAAAGTTCAACACCAATAGCCAATAACAACTCGTAATAATGTAATGAAGGCAGTATGGGTAAATAACTTAAGAGATATATGCTCAGCTCGTTCACAGTTACGGGAAAGTAGACATGCTTTTGAGTGTGACAGTTAAAGTCCAAATCTTACCACCGAAATCAACTAAACATGAGTTTGTCAAAAGAACTATATTTAACCATTCACAACACCAGTTCAGAACTTCTATTTACCAATTAACATGAGGAAAGTACATCTATATGCCTACGTGTCAATGTACATGTCAAGCAATCAATTATCATATTTCGTCTAGCATGAGGAATGTACATCTCTATGCCTATATATCAAATATACATGGCAAATCATCAAATGTCATATAACTGTCTAGCATGGGGAAAATAGATCTCTATGCCTACATGTCAAATATACATATCAACTAGATATCATCACAGTGAAACGCATCAAGAATAACCACACTTAGATCTTTTTGCCTACATGTCAAATATACATATCAACTAGATATCATCATAGTGAAACACATCAAGAATAACCACACTTAGCATGCTCACGGTGCCTAGCANGTTAAGGTATAGCCTGACAGCCTCAAATTGCTGTCCATGGCTGAACCTAGCCCTCAAAGGGTCCTAACTCTCTAATTTTTAAGGTGACAAGCTGGTCAGGGGTGTGCCAGCAGCCCAGGTGCTAGGCATGACCACCAGCCTGCCCTGGCTCCCCCCTAATCCTTTTCATTGCACTTACACTTACTCCTAAACTCTTAAGTCCTGCCCTCTCCTGTGAGCCTTGCCTTGGGACTTTGAGTTCCCTTTGAACTTGGACACTTGAGGGCTGGCCCTTCCACACTGCACTATTATCTTCACAATACTCAGTTCAATAGTGTTACACATTGGAGGCATCAACAACATGTGATGAATCAAATAAGAAAGTATTGAGACAGAGATATCATACACGGATATAGCATCATGATTTAGAGTATGTGTACAATTAAGGCAAATAGCTTAGAGACTGCAAGAATAGCCCTATCAAGTCTCAAACATGTAGTACATAGCCTAGACATGATTTCTAACATGAATCAGAACTCAAATGATCATACAGGTCTCGAAAACACGGATATAACAAGGCATGATAGCAAAACAATCTCATAATATCCTAAAAGCCAGCACTTATCATGACAACTCTGGTGCACGCACGCGCACCCGTCACCCAGCACGTACGTCACCCCAATACCTCTGATATATCATAGTTCCCAAGGTTAAATACCCTAAAATCCAAGTTTAGATATGTTACTTACCTCAAACAAGCCAAATCAAATAACGAGCAAGACAAACAACACTCTAGAAACTCCATCCTGTACGAATCGACCTCCGAACGGCTCGAAACTGGCCAAAATCAACTCAAAAATATCAAATAATGCCAAAGGAAACCAACCCAAACGATAAAGGTCAAATATTTAATCAAATACTCAGAGTCAACCAAACTATCAACCCGGACCCGCACCTTAGAACCCGACAAAACTCACAAATTCCAATAATTCATTCAATTGCGAGTCCAACCACACTAATTTCACTCAAATCCGACTCTGAATCGATGTTTAAAACTCAATTGTTCACTCCAGAAAAGATTAGACAAAAAACCCCAATTTCTCTTTTAAAATCATCAATCAAATGCCAAAATCGAAGATAGAATCAAGAAATATAATCAAATCCTAGTCAAAAATACTTACCCGAATCCAAGTAGTGAAATTCCCATAAAAAATCATCCATATCCGAGCTCCCCTATCAAAATATGATTAATATGATTATACACTCCTCTAGGGGTACCCTTCGCGAACGCGGAAGAAGCCTCATGTTTACGAAGTGCAAACTCACACTGCCACACTTTACCCTAAGCGTTCGTGGCAACATCCTGGCGAACATGATGAACACACTGCCAAACCTCCGTGAACGCGGACAAACCATCGCGAACGCGAAGAAGAACCTATCAAGACTGCCCAGCCCCGCTCAACACTACGCGAACATATAGACATGGTAACGCAGAGACTTAAAGTCTCAACCACCGCGAACGCGATCTCTATTGCACAAACGCAAATAATAAACATCAAGAAGCTCCCAATGCACTGCGCGATCGCGACCCAACCTTTGCGATCGCGAAGAAGACCAGAACCAGCAGAAACCAGAAGTGCCAAAGAATACGGGAATGATCTGAAACTCGTCTGAAACTCACCCAAGCCCCTCGGGACCCGTCCAGACATGCCAACAAGTCCCAAAACATAACACAGACCTACTCGAGGCCTCAAATCTCACATAAAAACATCAAAACCACGAATCACACCAAAAATCGAAGTTAATGAACTTTTAACTTCCAAAACTCGTGTTGAACCATATCAAATCAACTTGGAATGACTTCAAATTTTGCATTCAAGTTCCAAATGACATAAAAAAACCTATTCAAAAAATGGAACAACAATCCGAACCCGATATCATCAAAGTCAATTCCGAGTCAAACTTATGAACATTCCAAACCTTCAAATTGCCAACTTTCGCCAAATAGTGTTGAACCCTTTCTAGAAACATCAAAATGCAAATGCGGCATACGCCCAAGTCCAAAATTACCATACGGACCTAACGGAACCATCAAAACTCCAATCCGGGGTCAAATACACAAAAGTCGTACTTGGTCAACTCTAACTTAAAGCTTTCAAAATGAGAATCATTCTCCCAAGTCAATCCCGAATCACCCGGAAACGAAAGCCGACAATTCACACAAGTCATAATATAACATAGGAAGCTACTCATGCTCTCAAACCACCGAGTAGAATGCAAATGCTCAAAATGACCCGTCGGGTCGTTACAATTATCTCAAACCGCACGGAAATGCTCATCGTGCCAACATCACATCAAGTGCACGGAAATATTCATCGTGCCAATTTCCCTAAGGCCCCGATCATCATATCTTATTATGGATAAAGAAGTTCAAGTAACATGAAAATAACAGGTGTAGATGAGCATTTATGATGCTACGGTCAAGTTAAGTACATAAACAATCTAAAAAATAACGCATTAAATCCCTTTAAAATGTCATATATTTTGACATGGTCTCTAGCATGGATAATTTAGTCATGGAAGTAAATAAAGCATAAGTCAAAAAGGTCACAAAGTTCAATAAGGCATAAAGAAGCATATAATTCTCTCTCCCCTCGAGCATGAAAACCCTGGCACATTATATACGCTCGTCACTTCGCATATGCATTATCCCCCGCATGTAGTAAACAGTATCATTTATTAGGAAAAATTCCTCAACAAAGCTAGGCAAGACACTTGATGTTTGTAGTAAACAATATCATTTAATACACATCTTGATATTCATATGTGTATTTAGATTCAGACGTCTTAATCTTAAAAAAAATAAATGAGGCCAAGTACTCACTTTTTCTATTATATAGAAAAGGAAAGATGGTTGACCAAGGGCATATATGTTATTTTATAAAAATTCCATGTTTACATTTCTTAAATGCAAAATACACGTGAATCCCACATTCCTGTAGCCACAACTCTCCTTTCAATGCACTATGCATGTGTTGATTAGACTATTTGTGTACTGCAAATACTCATTTCTAATCTTTTTCTCATTTTTGAACATTATTAATTTTGTTATTCAAATAGAAGTTTCCTTAGAGAAAATAAAATTAATTTTTAAATAATACAACAATAAAAAGAAGTATCGATATTTACAAGATTTTTATATTTATCCATACTATCTTAAAGCAATTTGAAAATAAAAATTAAATAATTTTCATCTATCCATACTATTTGAAGACGATTTCAAACTAAATATTTTTATATTTAAAAGTAATTTTAAAAAATATAGCTTGTTAAACCTCAAAAGATAATTAACTAAACATAAGAAATAATAATTTAAATAAAATTGTAATGTTGGGCCCGTATACGGGCCTTTCCTCCTTTAGTTATAAACATAAATGACAAAAATTGCTCAGAATTATATTTAAGGGGCTATTTAACCAACTCCCAAACTTAAGGGATGATTGTTGTTATTTTCTCGGTGAAAAATGTGAAAGCACGGCTAGATTGCCCTGCGCATCTCAACTCTTTCTTTTCAAGGAATACATTTGCTATACTACCAGCGTGTTTTTGGTAAAGATTTTATAAGAGGGGAGGAGGGTTTAAGCCAAAAAGAGTTGGAAATGGAGTCGTCGTCTCCAACATTGGGGAAACGGAAACTAGAGGAGGAACACGAAGCAGCAGCAGCGTCACAAGCATCTGCTTTGAAAAGGCGAAATTTGGCCGCGGTCAGAACCTGCGTTCACGAGGTAGCAGTTCCCAGTCATTACACTTCAACCAATGACGAATCACTTCACGGTACCCTCTCAAACCCCATCTATAACGGTCAAATGGCCAAAAATTACCCATTTAAGCTGGACCCATTTCAAGAAATCTCCGTAGCATGTTTAGAACGAAAGGAATCAGTCCTCGTATCAGCACACACTTCCGCTGGCAAAACTGCAGTTGCAGAGTACGCAATCGCTATGTCTTTTAGGGATAAGCAGAGAGTAATTTACACTTCACCTTTAAAAGCTTTGAGCAATCAGAAATACAGAGAGCTGAGTCACGAGTTTTCTGACGTGGGTTTAATGACCGGTGACGTCACCCTCTCGCCGAATGCGAGTTGTTTGGTGATGACGACGGAGATTTTAAGGGGTATGCTTTATAGGGGTTCTGAGGTGTTGAAAGAAGTTGCTTGGGTTATATTTGATGAAATACATTACATGAAAGATCGTGAGAGAGGGGTAGTTTGGGAAGAGAGTATTATATTCTTGCCACCAGAAATTAAGATGGTGTTCCTTTCGGCTACCATGTCGAATGCCACGGAGTTTGCTGAATGGATTTGTAATATTCATAAGCAGCCTTGTCATGTGGTGTATACGGATTTTCGGCCTACACCTCTGCAGCATTATGTGTTCCCTATGGGTGGTTCTGGATTGTATCTTGTGGTTGATGATAACGAGCAGTTTAGGGAAGACAATTTCTTGAAATTACAAGATACTTTTACGAAGCAGAAACTGCGGGGGAGCGCCAATGGGAAGGCTAGTGGAAGAATTGGAAAAGGTGGCTCTGCTTCTGGTAGTGTGTCCGAAATCTACAAAATTGTTAAGGTGTGCAGTGTATTCTCGTAAGATTAGCTAAAATAATACACTCTCCGCTTCAATTTATGCATAATAGTTTGACTCGGTACAAAAAGAGGGGCTTTTGAAACTTATAATCTTAAACACGCTATAATATTTGTGTGACTATAAAAGCTTCTCATTGAGGGTAAAATCAGCAGTTTATAGATAGATGCTTCCAAATACAGAAAATATGTCCTTTTCGGGATGGACTAATAAGCAAATAGTATCACATAAACTAAAAGGTTAATTTGTCAATGTTTCAGATGATCATGGAACGGAAGTTCCAGCCAGTGATTATATTCAGTTTTAGTAGAAGAGAATGTGAACAACATGCAATGTCTATGACCAAACTTGATTTTAATACTGAAGAAGAAAAGGAAGCTGTGGAGCAGGTATTCCGTAGTGCAGTGGCGTGCTTGAGTGAGGAAGACAGAAACTTGCCAGCAATTGAATTAATGTTGCCACTGCTTCAGCGTGGGATTGCTGTTCACCACTCTGGTTTGCTTCCTGTTATCAAGGAACTTGTCGAGCTTCTCTTCCAAGAAGGACTTATAAAGGCTCTTTTTGCCACAGAGACGGTAACCCCATTCCTTGCATATCTTATTAGCTTGTGTTAAATTTATCATTACAGGATGCTGATTATACTATTTCCCCTTTGTTTTCCCTCCTAATAAATTTTTTACCAGTTTGCCATGGGACTAAACATGCCTGCAAAAACAGTAGTGTTTACCAATGTAAAAAAATTTGATGGTGATAGCCATCGTTACATTGGATCTGGCGAATATATACAGGTGAGCACGAATTCCATATACACAACATTAGCAATAGTTTGTTTTCAGCTTTTGATTATTATAATGTATCTCTCTTTCATGCAGATGAGTGGAAGAGCAGGACGTCGTGGCAAAGATGAACGTGGTATTTGCATTATCATGATTGATGAGCAGGTGAGTTAATAATAGTATTATCCTCTAAGCAAGCATCTTCTTAAGTACCTGCTACTGTCTTCTTGAAATTTATGTCTATTTTCTTCTTCTACTTTTTTTGATAAATCAAAAGTATTTTCTTTGACTTCATACTAAGTTGGTGGCGGAATTGCATCTCACTTCTACAAATTACAACAAAAAATATTCTTTTTTTTGATAAGTACAACAAAAATATCCCTTTTACACCAAAATACAGAAGGAAGAAAGGGAGTTTTTGACTCCACCTTCACAATGGACTTTCAACTGCTCAAACATTCTACTACTCCTTTCTCTCCAAATAAACTAGAAAGGGTGAGAAGCAGTCTTCCACGTTTCTTTCCTTCTGGGATCCATCTTTCTCATTCTCCAGCTTGCATAACTTCTATCCTGAGTTCTAGATAGAATCCAGAGTATGTTAAACATGGAAATACTATAGTGGAGCTTCAGTGGATGACTCATCCCGCCAAGGTTTTTCAGGGGAAAAAAAAGGAAGTCTTCCAAATCATTTTCCATTGCTAAGATTTTTCAGGTACAGCTTGATGAAAAAGATTTGTCAAATAAAATTGCTTCAGTAAGGAATCTGAAAGCTGATTTTGCTAAAAACACTCCATCCTTTTCCCCCCTATCCAGTATAGAGTATTTTCTACTAAGTTCTGAAGCTAGGAAGTATGTAACTCCTGCAGCAATTGGGTCATCCTTTCAGGTTCCCACTCCTAGTCGTTAAAGTTCTTCTGAAAGTCAAAACGTACCCTTGTTTTGGTCTATACTGTGGTATTATAGCTTGCTTGCTGCTAGTAAAGCAAAACAGATCTGGATATCTAAGGCAGGAGCCAATTCCTCTTTCCTCTTTTCACTTCCTACAGCTATAGTTAATTTGTGTTGCTTATTGCTGGGTACACCTATGCATGAGGCATACTTAACTATGTCTAGGACAGTCTTATGAGATGGTGTTAGCTTTATAGTGATAACTTACATATCGTGTGATGGCTTCAGATGGAGATGGATAACCTCAAGGACATGGTTTTGGGTAAACCAGCTCCGTTGGTCAGCACTTTTAGGTTGAGTTACTACACAATTTTGAATCTAATGAGCCGGAGTGAAGGTCAATTTACTGCCGAGCATGTTATCAAAAACTCATTTCACCAGTTTCAGTATGAAAAGGTTCGTTTTTAGAAAAACAGCATTTTCTGTGTCACTACTTTATATTCTATGATTGACAGTGACACTGTCTCTTTGTTAGGCCTTACCTGACATTGGGAAGAAGGTTTCCAAGTTGGAAGAAGAAGCTGCAACGCTTGATGCCTCAGGGGAGGTATAATGTTTGTTTTTCCTTTTATTCGAGAATATAGATTTTTTTCTGCACTAGATCCTAAAATAGCTTCTGTTCAACTTGTAGGCTGAGGTTGCAGGGTATCATAAACTAAAGCTTGAGATTGCCCAATTTGAGAAAAAGTTGATGGCTGAAATAACAAGGCCTGAAAGGGTTCTGTATTTTCTTCTTCCTGGTAGGCTGGTAAGTGGTTGTAGGCATCTCTAGTATTCTGCTGACTTCCGACTTGACCTGGACATATGTCACTTGTTCCGTCTATGACCCAATCTATGAGTGGTTGTCTTCCCTTTTCTTTTCTGGATAATTCATGCATTGCGTTGAACTGTGTTTTGTCTCCGGAAATATTTTTTTTGACATTGCTAATGCCTCCCCTTTGTTAGTGTACATGGCCTTTCATCTACTGCCATATCCTGGTAAACTTTGAAATGAAATATGTAACAATGCTACTTACTATTGGTAGCCGGAACCGTTTGCATGGACGTATGCTTCCCCAATGGGAAATGAGCTGCAAGCCCCTTGTATTGCCTTTTGCAACTGCAATGTAGACGTATCTTAGAATTCTTTCTTCTTAAACTTTACTCGTGAATGTTAGATTCACATTTCTGGATTAATTGAACTTGAATAAGGAAATTATTATAGAATGTTATATGTGATACATTAGGATACTCTGTATTTAATTTTGGAACTACTTTTAACCCTTCTTGCATGCTGGTAATTAATCAAGTAGTAGGAAGTTCTCTTGATTCTTTTTTCCACATTTTCCTTTTCTTGGTCTAATTACAGCTCTCTTTCACCTGCCAAAACATGATTTGGGACATTAGGAGGGTAAAGTAGAAGTTCAGAACATGTTATGGGAGTTGGGACATTGAGTAGGTAAGGTTAAAAGTTTATAGCTTTAAATGATGGGTCAATGTTGAATTGCAAGATGCTCTATATTTGATTATATCCGAGTCATACTGTCACGCCCTAACCTAGGGAGGCGCGACCGGCGCTCAATCGAGTGAACCCAACTGAGCAAGCCTTTTTGGACACTTTCTACCCAATTCACTTTGATCAAGGAAACCATGCTTTCATTTATTTAGACAGTAGGAAAGATAGTACATGCAACATTGTTAGTTCAATTTATGTTACAAACCTTAAACCATAGTTAACTTTCCAAAATCTCATACAGTTACAGTTTAAAGGAACAAGAGTTTAGAATTACAACGCAGTTCATTGACCCATCCAACACCCGTACATAACCCACACAAACGTCTACGGAGCCTCTAAGGATACAAAAGACAGTTATGATAATGCCGGCAACAAGGCCCCGGCTATACCTCAAAAGTGGTAATTATAACAAAAGACATACTGCATAACCCCTGGAAGGAAAGGGGCTCACCAAGATTGCTGAGTGGAGGATGCTCTGCTACCTACGATCGGTACTGTCTGCTATGGAACCACCTACATCCATTCAAAGATGTAGCGCCCCCGGCAAAATGGACGTTAGTACCATGGAATAGTACTAGTATGTATAACTAAACACCATCTCATTAGAAAGAACTATCATACAAGAATAAAGAAGTCATAAAGATCAATCAAAAAGCTTTAAGCAATCACCACTTCATCAAATCAAAGGATCATATAACTTTCACATAATTCCCATAGCTTTAGGTCGCGGCATTTAATACTATTCATCATCGTTCACAATACCACCGCTTTCTTGCGCGGAGTCCGATCACGACCCGATCGGCTAGGTTGCCTCATTTGAGACATGTATCTCAATCACAATCTCATTCTCACTTTCCGGATTCAATATCAGCACAATACCACCATGTGTGCGGCATGACGTTCGATCACGGCCCGATCGGCTAGGCCGTCTTACCAAGACGTTGTTCCTTTTCATTAATCATCTCATTTCAATCTTTATTTCACATGTATCAATTCATAGGCACTTGGGGCCACAATTATCACATCATACTTGGCACTAGGCCACATTTCATAACTCAAGCTCTTTTTCCCACATTTCATATCATTTTCACTTTTAACGTTAACCTTGCAATTTAAGATAGTAGGCACATACAAGAGCAATTCGAGTTGTAAGCATAGAGAAGATTTCACATAGTTTGGCATAACAATCTCAGTTTAAACTTGACTTGAAGTCTAGGCATTCCAACACATGGTTCACATTCTTCACACATCCTTAAATTACCAAGAATAGTATATTGAACATATGAAGACACACCTTTCACGTATATATTTGCAACACCAATTTATGTGAAATAACAATCAATACATCAATCAAATTTCGGTCTTACAACATTTGCATGGACATTAAAGGAGCTCGATTTCTAAGAAGAGGGGGTTTTAGCCATACATACCTCAATAGAGCTTTCCTTAAATTCTCACAAAATTTCGGAACTATTAGCAATTTCGATCTATTTTATGAGACTTACAAGTTGAACCAAAAATTAGAGAGATGATTAAGATTCTAGCTCATTTGAGTATATTATCAAGCACTAAGTGTGCATTGTGATTTTAGGACCTTTTTGTAAGAGGTTCTATCATCCTACACCCCATTTGTTACATTTTTAGCTCACAATCTCCCCATACCCTTTTATCATTCATGCATGCAAGATAATCAATTCTTATACCCATGAACCCACTTGTTAATTACTCATTTTAGTAGGAATTTCGAAATCAAAGACTAGGGCACAAGTTCTTACCTCTTAGAATGAAGGCTTAGTAACTTTACTTGAAAATCTTCAAAGATTTGGGCAAGGATTGAATGGGGACTTGGTGAAGATCACTTCCTCTCTCTAGAGTTCTTCTCTCACTCTAAATGCAGTAGAAAATAGCATAAAAGGGGCTAATGAGGTGTTTTTAATGAGATGGGGTCGGGTTTTAAAAGTTAGAAAATAGGAGTCCCGACTCAATCTGCGGTCGCATATGCGATCGCATAACTGATATGCGGCTCGCAAAAGGGACCGCAAAAATGCTCCTCGAACTTGCACATTCTGCCCGAGTATGCGACCAAAATGCGGTCCGCATACCTGTTCTGCGGTCGCATAATGCACCGCAAAACTGCCCCTCGCAAAAATCCCATGGAGGTTATGCGACGACTATGCGGCCCGCATATCCATTATGCGATCGTATAATTTGGCCGCATAGTTGTCCTCAAATTGGCCAACATACTGCCTCACTCTGCGGCAGTTATCCAGCCCGCATTGCTATTATGCGGTTGCATAATGGGCCGCAGAAACGCTTTTTTCTGAAAAATATTTTTCCTTAACTTTTTAATGCACAGATCAATCCAAAAGGTCCGAACCGCGGCGAGCTCGCCGCGAAGAATTTTATAAATTTCTAACACATATCCCTAACTTGGCACTACGAGATTTCGGGTTTTTGAGTAAGAATTTCACGGGGCGTTACACATACTGAGAAAGTGAAGTGCATAGGTAGACAGAGGAGTCCATTTCTCCTGATGAAATGTCATTGCTGCTAGTCTGTGTGTATTTCAAACATAGTAAAGATGGTGAATCACAGGAAGAGGAACCGTCCATGCTAAAGTTGCTTCTATCGGGGAGCGGTTTCAGTTGAATCCCCTTTGTCGGTTTTTTTTTTTTTTTTTTTTACAAAAGGGCAAAAGCTAGTTTTTTTTTTTGGGTTATATTTGAACTGTTGAATCCCCTTGACATAAGGGAAAGTTCTTGTAAAGTGGAAGAGGGGTTAAAGATATGCTTTAGGTCACAGGTTCATATCCCGGGTGTGACATTTTTGAATCCCTTTGTTTAAATTCTCACTCCGCCACTGACTTCTATGGTATTTTGTTCGTATTGCTGTTTGTATTGACTTGAAATTCATTCACCTAATACATTTTTGGGTAACTCCATTAGAGAGTTCATGTTTATCTTTTGCACGGACACTGAGCATTGCATTGTTAATGGCAGGTTAAGGTACGGGAAGGTGGAAAAGATTGGGGTTGGGGTGTTGTAGTCAATGTGGTGAAGAAGCCTCCAGCAGCATTGGGTTCTTTGCCTGCTGCCCTCTCTGCTTCACGTGGCACTGGCTATATTGTGGATACCTTACTTCATTGCTCGCTGGGTTCCAGTGAAAATGGTTCTCGACCCAAACCATGTCCCCCTCGTCCCGGGGAAAAGGGAGAAATGCATGTGGTGAGTACATAATACTGCTGTGTTGTAGTTTTCTAAAAGTCACATATTGCACACAAGTGAATTAGATCATGAGCAATAGTTGTATTCTTGAGTGTGTTTCTGGGGCATGAAACAACATTCCAATTTGTAGGTTCCTGTTCAGTTACCCTTAATTTCTTCCCTCAGCAAGCTTAGAATATCTGTTCCTTCTGATCTTCGGCCTTTGGAAGCGAGGCAAAGTATTTTGCTTGCAGTACAGGAGCTTGAAAAACGTTTCCCCGAAGGGCTCCCGAAGCTTAACCCTGTAAAGGTATGAATTTTCAGTTGCTGGTTTCATTCTTGATTTGTAATTTGTCATTTTAAAACGGATCAGGTCATTGATGAGCATGCTCTCTTTTCTCGTTCCGGGATATTTATCTGACTATAATAGCTATGGGTCAGAAACATTGCTAGTGATGTATATTCAAAAACCGCAGGTCAAAAGCCTAAAATACGTGTCGCTCATAGGGATATTTTTCTGACAGAAAGCTGTGTGTCAGGAACATTGCTAGTGATTTTTAAGCAAAATTTGCAGTCAATAGCTGGAGATGAGTATCGCTTATAGGAAACTGTAGCTGACTGTAATGCAGTAGAAATTATGGCACGGGGTGTCTTAAGAAACAAGGAAGGCTCTATGCGCTTTGTGTTGGTTTGTAGGGTTTGGTAATATCATATAGCTGCCTTTAGCAGTTAGTCAAAGTGAAAAGATGTCCTATGTTGGTGACTGATCCGCCCTGTGATTGTTGTTCAAGCTACCTACGTGTAAGGCATTTGTCAATTAATTCTTTCAGTTGATGCTTTTACGACTAGGCTGGATAGACACTAAAATAAAATCCTATCAATAGCATTTCGGTGCAAAATGGGAGATATATACCACATAGATATATTAATTGATTTCTTCAAGTCCTTAAATGAGAGATAGGCCTGTATTCTTCTGCAGCTTAACTACATACACCTTTGGTGCGTTTCTTTTTTTTTTTCCTTTAGTAAGATACTAAAATTCATAACTTACTTATCCAAAAGGAAAAGGTCTCACAGCTGATGCCTCCTTAAAGCACAAAAAAGAAAACAAAATATGAAAATAAAAGATCACAGATAAAAGAAAGAAAAATTACAGAAAAGAGTAAAGCGGGGAAGTAATATCTTAATAAGCTAAACGGACTATTGTTATCATTTTGTATGATCTTGTTGCTGAGTTCATTGCCAATTTCCATATTACAGAGCTTCCGTAATATGTAGCTGAGACAAAAATTACAGAAAAGAGTAAAGCGGGGAAAGTAATATCTTAATAAGCTAAACGGACCATTGTTAGCATTGTCTGATCTTGTTGCTGAGTTCATTGCCAATTTCCATATTACAGAGCTTCCGTAATATGTAGCTGAGTAACAGTTCTTCTGTGATATGGGTAAAAACTTCTATGTTTGTATATTACTTTGGTTGTCACATAAGTTTAGCTTCAGAAGAAATAATAGTTTGTATTTGGTGGACAATTTGGAGAGAAAGAAACTCAAGATGCTTTGAAGATTTGGCTAACTCTGAACAAAGGATCAAGCTGAACTGTATATTTTTATTCTACTTTTGGTGTAAAGAAACCGTTGTACGAGATATATAGATCTCTATTAGATCTCATTGGTTCCTTGTAGCTGTTACAAGATTGTTTTTGCAACTTCTTGGGTCTTGTATCACTGTTTTTACTCCTTAGCACAGTGTTTGTGCTAAGGACTATCTTTAATATAATAAAATCTGTTACCTTCTCAAAGAAAAAAGAAGAAGTAATAGTTTGTTCTCTTTTTGATATCTGTATATATTGCCTTAGCACAGCCTTTGTGCTACAATTATATAATATGTTGCCATTCTCAAGAAAAAACAAGAAGTGGTAGTTTGTTTCTTGTGTTAATCATTACTATGATGGAGGTTTGCTGGTTATGAAAGTATCCTTGCATAACATTTTGCTATATCTTTTACTATTATGTTTATTCTTCAAATTTGAGGCACTGATTAAATCAAGGGTTTGGTGCTTTTCCTGATTCTTATATTTGTAGGACATGGGCATTGAAGATCCTGAAGTTGTTGATATGGTAAACCAGATTGAAGAACTCGAGAAAAAGCTGTTTTCTCATCCACTTCATAAGGTATGACAAAAAATTTGGTATTGAATGGTCTGTTAATTCAGTGACGAGACACTAAATCTATAAGTAATGGTTTACTTACTGTCACTGCTTTTACCATTTGCTGTTGCATACATGTGGGGCAGTCACAAAATGAACATCAGCTTAAGTGTTTCCAAAGGAAGGCTGAAGTGAACCATGAAATTCAACAGCTCAAGTCAAAAATGCGTGATTCACAGGTAAATCTCCTATGTTGCTTGCTTGTCGACGCTAAAGTAATTTTTTGCCTTTCTTTATTCCCTTATTTTTTTGCTCAATTCGGCTGGGTCAAGTCTGATCCATTAGCCGGGTTTAAGTTCTTATCATTTAAAGTTCTAACATTATCTATCTCATGGCACATAATTATGAAGCTTTCATTCTTCTCTTGTTACAGTATTTAATTATTATTGTTTCTCTATTTTGCTTATCCATCTTTTATTAATATTTAGTTTTGAGATTTTTCCTATGTCTTCAACTTTTCTAATCCTTAGAGTACTGAACAATTATAGCTCTTTTTACTGAGTTTTCGCTATTTTATTTACTTTTAAGTTACAACAAAATTTGGCAAATTTTTCAGCTTCAAAAATTTCGGGATGAACTTAGGAACCGCTCCCAAGTCCTAAAAAAGCTGGGTCACATTGATGCTGATGGTGTTGTGCAATTGAAGGGGCGGGCAGCCTGCTTGATAGACACTGGAGACGAACTTCTTGTGACTGAACTGATGTTTAATGGTAATATAATTGTTGTTTGGAAACTTTGTGCAATGAGTAGCTTCTTTGTTTAGGTGGAAACAAATAGCTTTCATTTAAAAAATGAGAGCAGATGAAAGCTATGTTGTTTTGAACTTTGAATCTTAAAATGGAAACTCTATCAAATTAACCTGAGTGATTTGCACTTTTTATGGTGTATTGCATGGGCCTTAAACTTGATAGAACTGCTGAAGCTAAATAAAATATTTTACTCTCGTTTCTTGGATCATGTTGAAGATTTGTATACAATTATTATGGTTTGTTCTGGAACTTAAACTTACAGATCTGCTGAAGCCAAAAAAGAAAAGTTTTATTCTTCTCGTATATTTCCTTATAGCCCTATAGTATAGCCAAAAACTACTTACTTTTGCTAACTGGATTTTTGAATACTCTGGTCACTGTAGCTTCACCTTAGGTATAGCCTGTTTGGCCAAGCTTTTTTTTTTGGCCAAAAATTGAGGTGTTTGGCTAAGCTTTTGGAAGGAAAAAAAGTGCTTTTGAGGAGAAGCAGAAGCAGTTTTGGAGAAGCAGAAAAAAGTAGCTTCTCTCCAAAAGCACTTTTCTGAGAAGCACTTTTGAGAAAAATACACCTAGAAGCAGTTTTCAAAAGCTTGGCCAAACACTAATTACTGCTTAAAAGTGCTTTTCTAATTAACTAGTCAAACACAAACTACTTCTCACCAAAAGCACTTATGAAAATAAGCTGATTTTAGAAGCTTGGCCAAACGGGCTGTAATCAGGCCATTTTAATGTGGTTTAATTTCCAGTGAGACATGGGCCCAGGCTTTGGAATATCTTGTGGCATTCCTTTGGTGTTGCAAAGAGTGGGTGGTTAATTGCTGATATCTGGTATTGTGAATGATTTTGTGGGCAGGTACATTCAATGATCTTAATCATCATCAAGTTGCGGCTCTTGCAAGTTGCTTTATCCCAGGCGACAGAACAACTGAACAAATACTTTTAAGAGATGAACTTGCAAAACCATTACGACAGCTACAAGATAGTGCAAGAAAAATAGCAGAGGTGAGTTGAAAGAGGAATATGACACCTTTTATATTTCCATGTCAGAAGCATGGATAACACCAAAAACTTTGCAGATACAAAACGAATGCAAGTTGGAAGTAAATGTCGATGAATATGTGGACGCAGCAGTTCGACCATTCTTAATGGATGTTATTTACTGTTGGTCAAAGGTGAGCAACAAAGATATATGTTTCATGTTTATTTTCCAAAATGATTCATGTTCTTTCCCAGCACGAGTAGCAGATTTGTCTTGTTGAATGCTGTTACCATCATCTTGCAAGTCAAACTCTCAAGGCAGTTGGAGATTAAAGCCTGTTTGGCATTCTCTTCCATTGCTTTACAAGGTCCCTTGCACCCCTCCTTCATTTGTTGTTGGCTTGTCCTGATTGTTAGGTACACCCTCGGTCCCATTTATGTGACGGTGTTTAAGAAATTTAAGAAGACTTTTAACATGTAAGCCAAATATATGACGTCCAAATATATGACGTAACAAAAGTTACCCTTTTTATTTAAATGAGTGATGGTGGGGGTTCCAACGTCACGTCATTATGGGGATACTAAACTTAAATAGTTTCCAAAAAGAGAAGGGTGTCAATCATTTTGGAACAGACAAAAAAAGGAAATCATGTCACCTAAATTAGGACGAGGGAGTAATAGTTACTGAATAGTAAAGCATCCAGTAAACTACCCAAAGACCCAGAAAGTTGGTTATGGTTATGCTGTAAACATGGGATACTGTTGGTTGTGGTTATGCTGTAACTTCTTGTAGTATTCTTGTTTTGTTCATCTTTTTGCTCAAGGTCCAAGATCATGATTTACATGGATCGAATCACCTTTAGTCTTAGTACATGATGGATACATCAGCCGTTCAATCTTCAAAAGTGATCATTTTTTTGCATCCGAGGTCCTTTTCTAAAAAAAATGAATGAGGTTGCCAATTACCTGAAATACCTTTAATAGAAACGAGAAGGCTTACTTTGAATCTTCCAAAGTGGACCTAGTTTCTTTCCCTGACCCTATGAAAACGTAAAAGAAAAGAAAACACAGGAGATTTCATCTTGCTCTAATTCTTGTTAATGTGCATATACTTTCTCTTAGGGTGCATCTTTCGCGGAGGTTATACAAATGACGGACATCTTTGAAGGTAGCATCATACGGCTGGCTAGAAGGCTTGATGAATTTTTAAACCAGGTAACTGATTAGATCATCAGTTGTGTTTATGAATAATACGAGATATTAACTATCATTGTTCATGGCCATTCACTTAGTGCATCAGGAGAGGACTCCCATTAATGAATTTTCTTTTGATTATACTTGTTTGTTCAATAAGCTAGAGTAAACAATCATGTCAATGGTACCTGTAGATCTGTAATAGTAATATGAGTTTCCTTTCCCTTATACCTAACAGCTTCTCCGCATGTTTAAATTATAGAGTCAAATTCTGAGACTTTTTTTCTTGGGACTTAACAGTTGAAAGCTGCTGCACATGCTGTGGGAGAAACAGATTTAGAGAATAAATTTGGTGCAGCAAGTGACAGTCTTCGGCGAGGGATAATGTTTGCAAATTCTCTCTATCTATAAGAGTTAAGTAGATGAGAGCTGAAGTTCTCATTAGCTAGCTGTATATCAAATCTGTGTAGTTTCTGTCCCTGTTATGGGACTAGCTGACAGATTGTTCTTTTATTATTTTTCCTATTTTTCAAAGAAATAGTTTCTTACTTCTAGTGATGCATTCTCCAGTTGAATGTGGCAAATCTATAACCTTGCTCTGTCTCGTTAAGATTGTAAGTGATACACTTCATTCTTTTTGGCAGAGAAAACATAAAGGTTCCAAACTCGCAAAAAACATATTAACTATCTCGCACCTTAACAATATTAACCTTCAAAAGATTATAATTATTGGTGTACATATATAGGGTTGGTTTGGGTTTTTCAATTACCAAACCAACCAATTGTGTCGGGTTATTAAATCTAAAGACCAAACCAATAGAAGTCGGGGTTTTAATCTCGATTTTTCTCGGGTTTTTGGGTTATTTTGGGTTTTTTTCTTCATAAAGTCTTTATTGCACAAAACATAGAATTTGTGCGCCAAATATTTCTTTGATCCTAGTAAGACATACTATATAAGGTGTTTTTCAAGAAAATGACATAAAATATGAGATGCGTTATGGCATTATACTAAAATATTCAACAATAAAGATAGTAAAATCGCATAAAAGAAATGCTTTATTAATAAGCTATAATGAAAATAAACATAATCTAAAATGACCAAGTCGCTAACAAGTACTCTTTTTACATGACTAAACACTATACAAAAAATAATAATTTGTGCATTTTATCTAATCCATAAAAAAACTAAAAAACTAGATATTCAACACTATTGTCATTCCTAGTACAATTTAATTGAATGTCTTTTATTCGCACTAATATTGACTATAATAAATATTTTTATGTATTAAATATATTTAAAACTTCTATACATATAATGTCGGGTTGTTTTGATTTCAGTTTGCCTTTTTTTAGTAAAAACCAAACCAAACCAATTATGGTCGGGTTTTTTTCCCAATACCAAACCAAATCACAGTTGGATTTTCTTTCTCGGTTTTCTCCGAATTATCAGTTTGATGCGGTTTGTCGATTTCCTTTGTACCCTAATTATAATGCAAAGGTATACTCATTTCATTAAAGCAATGTTTAAGGATTTTGGATCATCCATATATGATTGATATTTTTGTGCCCTTTATCAAATAAATAATGCCTTCGGTGATTTTTGATTTTACTCCTCGGTAACTGTAATATGTCCCAAAAATTTGAAAGAAAAATGCCTCGTAGGTTCTTTAGGGAACTACAGGAATAGCCGCAAACAGATATTACTTATCAACAGTTGGCCATTATATTATTTTACCAAAAATAGCCATAAAAGTTATAAATGATCTATAATATACAAAAAACTTAGGGAAAAGAGGCTTTCTTAATGGATATGGTTGGAATTCGTTGAAAACACACAAACAAACACAGAATTTGAGATTGGAGTGATTTGGACAGGGTTGAAGTCAAAATTCGTTATTAATGATACACAACATTTAAAAAATTAGGCAATTTTATTTTTCAATGGGCATGGTTGGAATTCGTTGAAAACACTAAGATGAGGTAATATATAAAATTTGAGAAAGATTGGAGGTGATTTGGACTGGTTTGGAGTCAAATTCATAGTTAAAATTGAGTTTGAAAATTTCTCTACGACATATGTATGTAACATGTATCTCATACATAGGTATACATGGATACGTAAAAATATCGATACACATTTGATACATACCGGATACACAAAAGATACACTGGAGATGCACAATGAGATATACATATATCTTTTTCCATGTTCATCTTCTACCTCAAAGTTGACTCAAATTTCAGTTCAAACCACCTCAAATCTTTATCAAGTCGTTCTAAAATTGAGATTCAAACTCCTTGAGATGTACCCAATCTATTCCAACTCCTTGAAATGTACGCAATCTATTCCAACTCCCTGAAATGTACCCAGTCTATTCCAACAATAGTAAAAATGGCGTGTGGTAGCCACTAAATAAGGTGGTGTTTATTTTTTATCCACCAATTCTAATGCTGAGCAAAAATAGCCACTACTCTATTAAAATTATTTTGAAAAGATAAATTTACCCTTTCTTCTATTCTTATATTCCCAAACCCTTATTTTATACGTTCAGAGGCAAAATTTGAGAGCCAAAATTTCAGAGGCAAATTTCGCTCCCTAAGTATCGTTACTTGCATGCAAATCATTGTTCGATTTGTTCCTGCCCAGCGATTCTCAGTAGTTTGCAGTTAATCTGTTCTCCTTTGTCATCTTCTTTGCATCGAACCAGCGAACTGCTATATTTTTTATTTTGCTTTTATGCATTTTTCTTTTGTATAACTTTAATCGCGATCAATGCTGTGTTTGGCATCAAGTATGTAGGAAATTTCGAAAATAATGATTATAACTTGATTCAGTGTGGAATAAGTTGCGGATTTTTGTTAGGAAGTTATTCAGAATATTTTTGTATTGAAATGTGTTTGTGGTTCAATCAATATATTTGATTATGTAAGGATATTTCATAAAAATAGTCGTATGAATTCATAAGCTAACCGTGTTTATGAATTTTTAGTTAACTGTGCTTCTATAAAAGTTAAGGACCAAGTGTCCTTAACTTTTTAACTTGAAAATCAAAGTTAAGGACCAGGTGTCCTTAACTTTTGAACTTGTAATTCAAAGTTCAGGACCAAGTGTCCTTAACTTTTGAACATGGAATTCAAAGTTAAGGACCAAGTGTCCTCAACTTTTGAACTTGGAAATCAAACTTTAGGACCAAGTGTCCTTAACTTTTGAACTTGGAACTCAAACTTCAGGACCAAGTGTCCTGAACTTTTGAACTTGTAAATCAAAGTTAAGGACCAAGTGTCCTTAGCTTTTTAACTTGGAATTCAAAGTTCAGGACCAAGTGTCCTTAACTTTTGAACTTGTAAGTCCTTAACTTTAAGATGCATTTTACTTAGGTCCTGGATTTTAGTCCTAATTTTTTATGTTCTTTTTCCTTCTTTTGTAGTGTGCTAATGGAAGGAGATCGTGTTTTCGACTTTGATGTTTGGCGTAATTTGAATAGTTATTGGAAAGGAGATTTACAGTATAAGAAAACAATAAAAGGTTTCTGGTCGAACAGGCAATGGAAGAAGTTGAGGGATGGTATTTTTGGAAACTTTTTCCGATTGCAAAGTGTGAAGTTCTGTTTTAAATTTATTCATTATGTGTTGTTTTCAGAAATTGTAAACAATGACCCTAATTCAATGACATTCAAGGTTTTTGACCATGAAGTAAAGTTTACACGTGAAGCAATTCATATAGTTACTGATTTAAAATGTTCTTCTTCAGTGGACTTCACAGTTGTGCGTGAAAAAAAGAATAGGCTTTCGAAAGTCTACTTCCCTGGGAAAGATAGAATTGAGTTAGGTGATTTGTTTAATTTTATTACTAGTCACCCAAATGGTAAAGCTGCATCATTTGTAGGCAGCGTGATGCGGTGAAGTTGACAACAATTTATTTTGTTGAATCTGTTTTGATGGGGAAACGCAAGAATCGGAATGTTTCCGAGCAGCTAATGAAAGTTGTAGATGATAATAAACTCTGCTCCTCTTTCAACTGGGGCTCTCTTTGTTATGAAACGTTAATAAAATCATTGAAGGAGTTGTTTGAAGCCCAATGAGAATGAGAATGAGAAAGAGAAAGAGAAAGATAAAGACAAGGACTGTTATACTATACTTGGCTTCCCTTTTGCTTTTTATGTTTGGATTATGGAAAGTTCCAATTTTTCAGGAAAACAATTTGTGAACTTTAGAGAATGTGGGTATCCTTGGATATTATGTTATTTGGATATGAAATCTCCACAATATGATTCTCTGTGTAAAAAATACTTCCATAATGAAAATGTAAGTTAATCTGATTACTAGCTTTTTTTTTTGTTTATGTGTTTTAGTTCTGAAAACTTACATTTTTTTTCTTATATAATAGTTGTATAAGTTGATCGAGGTGGTACCATTTGTTTCTGTTGAAGAAGATGCGGAGCCTGTTAGTGTGCATGAGCCATTGTCTCAAGATCAAAGTTCAATGCCTTCCTCTACACAATTTGATGAAGCCTTGCTTAAGGAAATTGTTAAAGTAGGTTTTCTGTCTTTGAATAGCATGAGTTTTTTATTTGATTATTTTTGCTTAAGAGACTTTTTTGTTTTCATGGTTTTTGATTCAGAGATTATCGGAGAAGTTTACAAAGGATATGCACAAAGAAGTTACTAGAATAAATCAAAGAATAGCTATATCAGAAACAAAGATTCAAAATGACATCAAGGTAATATCATTTATTTCAGTGCTTGTAACTCAAAGTTAAGGACCAAGTGTCCTTAACTTTTGAACTTGTAACTCAAAGTTAAGGGTTGGTCCTTAACTTTTAAACTTGAAACTCAAAGTTCAGGACCAAGTATCCTTAACTTTTGAACTTGCAACTCAAAGTTCAGGACCAAGTGTCCTTAACTTTTGAACTTGCAATTCAAAGTTCAGGACCAAGTGTCCTTAACTTTTGAGCTTGGAACTCATACTTCAGGACCATTCGTCCTTAACTTTTGAACTTGGAATTTAAAGTTAAGGACCAAGTGTCCTTAACCTTTGAACTTGGAAATCAAAGTTAAGGACCAAGTGTCCTTAACTTTTGAACTTGAAACTTGAAGTTCAGGACCATGAATCCTTAACTTTTGAGCTTGGAACTCAAACTTCAGGATCATTCGTCCTTAACTTCTGAACTAGGAAATCAAAGTTAAGGACCAAGTGTCCTTAAATTTTGAACTTGTAACTTGAAGTTTAGGACTACCTGTCCTTAACTTTTTAACTTAATTTCTTTCATAGAATTTAAAGAAAGAACTAGGATCAAAGATTGATACTTTATTGAAGATTCTTGTCAAACCTGATGAAAGGAACATAGAGAGAGAATCTACTGTTCCAAGTAGTAAAGATGCAGTTGATACAGAACCTATTGTTATAATTAACAAAGATGCAGGTGATGATCAATGTGATGATACAGATGCGCATGCAGAAGATCATTATGAAAGCGATTATAGAGATGTGCATCTAGAAGATGAAACTGATATTGGCACTAAAATTGGGAAAGGTTAGATATAGAGTTTGAATTTGTTGTCATTGAAATTTATATTCAATAGCGTAATATATATAAACTCTTTTGTGATTACAAATATATGTATTATCTATTGATGTACTGGAAGTTTAAGATGTAGTAGAATGTCAAGACCAGAAAAATCCAAAAGAGACAGGAGTAACAGAAACAATTTGTAAATGTGGAGTGCAAACTCAGGATTTGGAAAATCCATTGGGAACAAGTGTAAGTGAGATTGTATGCAAATGTGTTAAAGGAATATATGATCTCTCTACACCTCTCTCACTTAAAGAGAAATTTGGAATTCAAAATGATGCCAATCAAGGTTAGATGGAATTTTCATGATATGTTGAATGTTAGTTTTAGTAAACTATTAGTAAAGGGTATTAATTGTAAATGTTACAAAATCTTTTGAAGCTGCAAGGGAAGAAGATGGAGTGGACTATCAAGAGAGAAGTGGAGGACAATCTCAAGACTTAGAAAATACCCAAGGAACAAGAATAAGTGAGATTATTTGCAAATGCATAGAAGGAACATATGATCTCTCTACACCTCGCTCTCTTACCGACAGTATTGGAAGCCAAGAAAATACTAGTGAAGATAATGATTTAACTGGTTTTTCTTTAATTTTATACATGTTTGTTTTAATCAAAGATTAGTAACAATTACTAATTATGTTAACTCTTGTAAATATTTTGCAGAATCTTGTGAACTAGCAATCGAAGATCATGGAGCACAGTTGCAAGATAAAGAAATGCACAGTTGCAAGATAAAGAAAATACAACCAATATGTCAGCTCAATTGTCTGTTGAAAAAGTATAAGAATGCAGCGTGGACGACACAGGTATTGATTGTGTCCTAAATATTATATTCCTAATTGAAATTGCCAGCACATTTCAAAAATTATGTCCTTAGTTTTTGTCTCTTCATTTGACAATTCGTTGTAAAATTTACGACTTGCAGCAAACTAATGTATATGTAGTGTTGTCTGCAGAGGAAAACAAAAATGAAGCCCTTAACCAATATACTAGGAAAAGGAAGAGAGATAGTTTTGATGGTCCATCATTTTCTATTCTTACTCCTACTCCTCCAACTACACAAAATAGCATTGTTGAGGGTTTGTCTATGGAAGGTGAAGGATATGTTGAAGAAGATCTTGGTCAAGGGAAAAGGAATAAGAAGCTTAGTTGGCAATTGAAATCTACTTTTGAACAGGAAAGAAAAACATGAACATCGATGACGCACAATGAAAATACTCCCAAGAATACGGGCTGGATAAAATCAAAAATATACTCGTAAATGTATTTTTCATTATGCCAAAGACGATGAAAACTTATTGAAGAAATTCATTGGGTGGTTGGGCAAGGAGAAAAGGAAAGGTCGCAAAAAAGCGTAAGTCCCTAGATGTATTTCATTATTTGTTAATTGTCCTTAACTTTTGAGATTGCAAGTCTAAGTTCAGGCCCAAGTGTCCTTAACATTTAAACTTGTAAATGTAAGTTCAGGACCACGTGTCCTTAACTTTTGAGCTTGGAAGTCAAAGTTAAGGACCACGTATCCTTAACTTTTGAACTTGGAATTCAAAGTTAAGGACCACGTGTCCTTAACTTTTGAACTTGGAATTCAAAGTTCAGGACCAAGTGTCCTTAACTTTTGAACTTGGAATTCAAAGTTATGGACCACGCGTCCTTAACTTTTGAACTTGGAATTCAAAGTTCAGGACCAAGTGTCCTTAACTTTTGAACTTGGAATCCAAAGTTAAGGACAAAGTGTCCTCAACTTTTGAACTTGGAAATTAAAGTTAAGGACCAAGTGTCCTTAACTTTTGAGCTTGGAACTCAAACTTCAGGACCAAGTGTTCTTGACTTTTGAACTTGGAATTCAAAGTTAAGGACCAAGTGTCCTTAACTTTTGAACTTGGAACTTAAACTTCAGGACCAAGTGCCCTTAACTTTTTAACTTGGAATTCAAAGTTTAGGACCAAGTGTCCTTAACTTTTGAACTTGGAATTCAAAGTTAAGGACCAAGTGTCCTAACTTTTGAACTTGGAACTCAAACTTCAGGACCAAGTGCCCTTAACTTTTTAACTTGGAATTCAAAGTTTAGGACCAAGTGTCCTATTTGACATGGAATTCAAAGTTAAGGACCAAGTTTCCTTAACTTTTGAGCTTGAAACTCAAACTTCAGGACCAAGTGTCCTTAACTTTTGGACTTGGAATTCAAAGTTCAGGACCAAGTGTCCTTAACTTTTGAACTTGTAACTCAAAAGAAACAAAAAGCACGTAAGCGCAAAGAAACTTTGAAAATTCAGGACATCTGGTCAAATAAAAATAATCTAAATAAATCCAATTTATAGCAAAAACTTAAAAGAGTAGATAAACATAAGTGGATATATCTACTATTATCTATGCTTCCTTGAAAATGGACCGCCGGAGAATTTATACAAGCTGTTCTATTATGGCCAAGTCTTCTGCAACGACCACATTTGAATGCTATTTTAGATGACTCGGTAGCTGGAATATGCCTTTTCTTCTGCCTTCTACCTGGTGGCACTTGAAAGCTGGAGGTTTAATAATTTGTGACTTAACACTCTCCGCTACAATCCAAGAATCAGTATGTCCTACAGGATGTATTTGTCTTTCATATGTTTTCAGCCAAGATTCCTTTAAGTACATGTGCGAACAAAAGTTGGACTTCTTGATGTTTCTTTTCTCGATTGCTGCAATTGCATGTATGCATGGTAATTCATCAAATTGACACTGAAAACAATCACATGTCCTTTTGTTTAAGTCCACCAAGAAAGTAATTCCTTCTTCCTCAACTCTAGAACGCCATGAATCAACAGGGAAGACCTTTAATGTTGAAAAATTATAAGTTAGTACATTATGTTAAATTATCATTAAAATATTAAGATAAACAAAGAACATAATACTTACATTCAAGGTAAAATGCTAGATTTATCTTTTTCTTCAATTCCTCTTCTACCCAACAAGAAACGTCATAAAAGTTCCTTCTGCTCCATTTCTTCTTTCATAACACCAACGTTGTAGCTTTATTTGGATGAAATCCATCATTCTTAATATAGGCAGCTCCCTTGCTTCTAATAGCACAGAATTCATTGACTCAACTATGTTTGTTATGAGTGTGAGCACGTGATTTTTGCCCTATATGAATTACTCCTATAAAATTCAAGAAAATAAATTTTTCTTTCCATTTTTTGGGAGTTTGTGCTAATTGTTTGCATTTCTGTGCATGCTTACTTTTGTTAAAAATCATGAAAACTGTCAAAAATACCATGCATTGCATTGAGATTTTATTTTCATATTTTTAGGATTAATTAGTAAATTAGTGGTCTTATTTAAAAATGAAAATCACAAAAATTTTCTTACTTTTGCATTTTTAGCCTTTTAATTTTAGATTAATAATTTCCTCTTTTAATCTAGGAGTAATTAATTTTTGTAAACACTATAGTAGATAATTAGTTTAATTAATTATTTTAGGAATTTAATTTAGGTATTTAATTAATTAAAAAAAGGAAATTAAATAAAAAAAAAAGGGAATTGGGAAAGGTTTAATTTAGCTTTGAGAGTGAGCCATCTATACCCAAGTCAGCACAAGCCCAGATCCCTACCCAAATAAACCCCAAACACAGGCGCAATGCTCCATACCTGGTCCAGTCCAGTCCAGCCCCGCCCCATGCCAAACGACGTCGTTCCAAGCCCCTTGAATCTCATCCGTTGATTCCTTCTAATCAAACGGATGGGAACTAAGCTCCCCCCAAGTATAATACTGTCTGAAAGCCATCCACCCCCCTCATTCGAGACCCCCCATTCCATCTCTCCCAACTTTAGAACATGAAACCGTAGCCGCCCTCATACCCTCCGCCGCTCCGCCGTCAACCACCCGCCGGGAATCGCCTCANATTTGACATGGAATTCAAAGTTAAGGACCAAGTTTCCTTAACTTTTGAGCTTGGAACTCAAACTTCAGGATCAAGTGTCCTTAACTTTTGAACTTGGAATTCAAAGTTCAGGACCAAGTATCCTTAACTTTTGAACTTGCAACTCAAAAGAAACAAAAAGCACGTAGGCGCAAAGAAACTTTGAAAATTCAGGACATCTGGTCAAATAAAGACAATCTAAATGAATCCAATTTATAGCAAAAACTTAAAAGAGTAGATAAACATAAGTGGATATATCTACTATTCTCTATGCTTCCTTGAAAATGGATGGACCGCCGGAGAATATATACAAGCTGTTCTATTATGGACAATTCTTCTGCAACGACCACATTTGAATGTTATTTTGGATGACTCGATAGCTGGAATATGCCTTTTCTTCTGCCTTCTACCTGGTGGCACTTTGAAATCTGGAGTTTTAATAATTTGTGCCTTAACACTCTCTGGAATAATCCAACAATCAGTATGTCCTACAGGATGTATTTGTCTTTCATATGTTTTCAGCCAAGATTCCTTTAAGTACCAGTGCGAGCAAAAGTTGGACTTCTTGATGTTTCTCTTCTCGATAGCTGCAATTGCATGTATGCATGGTAATTCATCAAATTGAAACTGAAAACAATCACATGTCCTTTTGTTTAAGTCCACCAAGAAAGTAATTCCTTCTTCCTCAACTCTAGAACGCCATGAATCAACAGGGAAGACCTTCAATGTTGAAAAATTATAAGTTAGTACACTATGTTAAATTATCATTAAAATATTAAGCTAAACAAAGAACATAATACTTACATTCAAAGTAAATGCTAAATCTATCTTTTTCTTCAATTCCTCTTCTACCCAACAAGAAACGTCATAAAAAGTTCCTTCTGCTTCATTTCTTCTTTCCTAAAACCAACGTTGTAGCTTTACTTGGATGAAATCCATCATTCTTAATATAGGCAGCTCCCTTTCTTCTAATAGCACAGAATTCATTGACTCAACTATGTTTGTTGTGAGGATGTCATATCTTCGTCGTGGACTACAAGAACGTGCCCACCTTTGCGGTGGTTCTTCCATCAAGTAGTCATAAGTCTTCTTATCTACTTTTGCTATATCTGACATGTATAGATCAAATTCTTTGCGCCTGTATACTCTTGCAGCACTTTGGAAAAGTTTTATGACCTCACTTTTCACTTTCCTTCGCTTTAGGTTCTTCTCCAAATGATAGATACAAATCCCATGGTGGCTTTCAGGATATACCTTTGCAATGCCACATGCAATAGATTGATGCCTGTCTGATAAAAAAATTAAATTCTCACGACTCCCAATTGCATTGCGAAGCTCACTAAAGTACCACTCATAGGAATTGTTATTTTCAAATTCTGCAATTCCCAAGGCTAGTGGGAAAATTTGGTTATTTGCATCCTTTGAAATTGAAATCATTAAAACACCACGAAATTTTGACTTCAAAAAAGTTGCATCAACAGCAATCACAGGTCTACAATGATTCCAACCAGTTATTAATGATCCATATGCATAAAACATATAAAGAAACCTGAAAATACAGTATAACAGAAGTTAAGGACAACCTGTCCTTAACTTAGACTACCAAGGTCATAAGTTAAGGACGGCTAGTCCTAAACTTCAGGTTACAAGTCCAAAAGTTTAGGACATGTAGTCCTGAAGTTAGAATAACAAGCTCAAAAGTTAAGGACACTTGGTCCTTAACTTAGAGTTACAAGTTAAAAAGTTAAGGACATGTAGTCCTTAAGTTAGAGTTACAAGTTCAAAAGTTAAGGACATGCAGTCCTTAATATTTTAACTTGCAACTCTAAGTTAAGGACCAAGTGTCCTTAGCTTTTTCACTGCACACATCAAAGTTAAGGACAACACATCCTTAACTTTTTAACTGCACACATCAAAGTTAAGGACAGCATGTCCTTAATTTTTTAACTTGCAACTCTAAGTTAAGGACCATGTGTCCTTAACTTTTTCACTGCACAGATCAAAGTTAAGGACCGCACGTCCTTAACTTTTTCACTGCACACATCAAAGTTAAGAACAACAAGTCCTTAACTTTTTCACCGGTTAAGGACAGCATGTCCTATAGTTTATAAAACAGACTAATAATCTCTTTTTTGATTGTTTACCTGTTGTTGTCGTCTATCTTTATGTTAGTATATGTTCCCGGATTTTTACTTTTCATCATATACAAGTATGAAGACAAATAATTCATAATTCTCTTCAGGAGTTCCTCTTATTAAAGCTGAAGCACGTTGAATAGCACGCCACGCCTTGTGATACCCAATGTCTAGTCCATGCAATTTTTGCATTTCTGCCATGACAAAAGCTGGTGTAACTTCAAACCTTGGGTCTCGAAGATTGTCAATAATGTAACCACTAATCAACTTTGAAGTTGCATGCCTTTGATCCGCTTTCATAGTGTTAACTGAGCAGTCATGATTTTTCTCAATCTTTACTATCTTGAACAGTGTTGAATCTTTAACTCTGAAAGCACGCACACACCACCCACACCTATCACCATTGCATTTCAACGAATATCTTGTTGAGCTTGATCTAACAACCTTGAATTCAAAATGTCATTTAATTGCTATATTCGAAAAATAGTTAATTATACTCTTCTTTTTGTCAAATATCGATCCCACTTTTATTTCATCCAACGAAGCATTTTTTTCTTAATATCGTAGTTGGGGATTCTTTTTGTTTCGAATTTGAGCTTCGTCTAGTTAGTTGAGTAGAGGTTTTTTCAGCAACTTCTTCTATTAACGGTGCACTCTCTAAGACTTGAATACCCAAAATTTGTTCGTTGTCAATCTCTATAATGCTTTGTCCTTCTACTTGAATACAATCAAATGTTTGAAGCACATCTTCAGTTATTGGTTGAGCTTCAACCATATCTATTTCCATTATCTGTTGGCATTTGTTTTGATTTTCATGTTGATTTTCTCTGTTGACATGTTCAAAGGTGCTTGTAGATCCAAAAACTCTTTCCGAAACATCAACAATGAAATGACAGCCCTTGAAGAGTGAATGACTTCTTAGTAACTCTATACATGTGTGAAGATCTAAATCTTTGGATACAAGCATTCCCTTGCTTGTTCCCAGGTTAATATCAAACCATATCATTGCTTCAAACTTGTCTCTATCCAATTCAATAACTTCAAATACCTGTTTAATGAAATCTTCAAATCGAATTCCTCAGGTACTAGAACAAGCTTTGTTTGATGATCAAAATACTTATAGTCTGCAGTCCATCTACCATTAAAAGCAACTATAATACATATTGTTTCCATCCTACAAGTCAAGAGAATGGAAAATTCAGGACATATTTACAGAGCAATCCTTGTATAAATTAAGGACATGAACTGTAAGTTCAGGGCCAAGTTAAGGACCAAGTGTCCTTAACTTTTGAACTTGGAATTCAAAGTTAAGGACCAAGTGTCTTTAACTTTTGAACTTGGAACTCAAACTTCAGGACCAAGTCTCCTTAACTTTTGAACTTAAAACTTGAAGTTCAGGACCATGCGTTCTTAACTTTTGAACTTGGAAATCAAAGTTAAGGACCAAGTGTCCTTAACTTTTGAACTTGAAACCTGAAGTTCAGGACCATGAATCCTTAACTTTTGAGCTTGGAACTCAAACTTCAGGACCATTCGTCCTTAACTTTTGAACTTGGAATTTAAAGTTAAGGACCAAGTGTCCTTAAATTTTGAACTTGGATATCAAAGTTAAGGACTAAGTGTCCTTAACTTTTGAACTTGAAACTTGAAGTTCAGGACCATGAATCCTTAACTTTTGAGTTCCAAGCTCAAAAGTTAAGGATTCATGGTCCTGAACTTTTGCGAAACCAGGACACTATGTCCTTAATATTCAGGACAACAAATCCTTAACTTTATGTCCTCAATATTTATAAAATAATCACAGGCTGCGATGTCCTTAACGTTATCAATCCAGAAAAGCAAAAAAAAAAATCAAATTCCTAGCATCAAATTCCCAGTAACGAAATAAAAATCAACAGAAACACACAAAAGCATAACTTACTGTAATTTTATGTCGATTTTTGGACGAGAAGCTACTGCAATATTGGATGATCACAGTCTCTGCCGCTGCTATAGTTTGAAATCGGAAGAGAAGCTACTGCAATTTTGGACGATCACAGTCTCTACTGCTGCTTCGGAAGTTAGTTACGTGCTGCTGGTGCTGATCGTTAATAAGGAGCGTAGGTATAAGCTTATAACAGAAGGGTATTTTCGTCTAGGCAGGTAAAAGTTTATTAAAGCAGTGGCTAAAGACTAAAGACAACTAAAACAGTGGCTTAAAAATAAAGACATCTGCTATTAATGGCTATCTGTGCACATCGCCCCCAACAATACCCGCTGAAAATAAATTCCACTTTCAAAAGCCCAAAATTTCAAATTCAAGCTTACATGACTTCAATTACTTTCAATGGAGTCCAAGAACAAGTAAGAACGGTTGTGATGATGAGGATCAAATGGAAGATAAATGAGACATATTGCGGTCCTTTTCTTTGTATACACCAATAGGTGAGACAATATACGCAACAATAACATCAACAATAACAACAACAACAATAACAACAATCCTATATAATCCAACAAGTGGGGTCTGGAAAGTATAGTGTGTACACAGACTTTACCCCTACCCTGAGGTAGAGATGTTGTTTCCAATAGATCCTTGGCACAAGAAGATGAAAAGAGGCAATAGAACAGTAGCAACAACATATGCTAGAAAGATAATACCGGCGAGGTATGAATCAGAAAAATAAATAGAAAAAGCAATATCAATATTAATATAATTATGATGTAAACTGTAAATAACAAATACTCTCACACGGTCTAAAGAGGGGGAAGTGCACGGTTAGCTACTAATATCACATGTATTTACTTTTAAGCCACTATTTAAAATGTCTTTAGTCTTTAGCCACTGCTTTAATAAACTTTACCTGCCCGGACGAAAACACCCTTCTGCTCATAAAAGTTCAGGACCAAGTGTCCTTAACTTTTGAACTTGCAACTCTAAGTTCAGGACTTTAGGACTATATGTCCTTAACTTTTGAACTTGCAACTCTAAGTTCAGGAATTCAGGACTACATGGCCTTAACTTTTGAACTTGCAACTCGAAGTTCAGGACCACCTGTCCTTAAGTTCTGTGCTTGTAACTCTAAGTTAATGACTACTTGTCCTTAACTTTTGAACTTGTAAGTCTAAGTTCAGGACCTATTGTTCTTAACTTTTGAGCTTGTTAGTCTAAGTTCAGGACCAAGTGTCCTTAACTTTTGAACTTGTAACTGTAAGTTCAGGATCCATAACGTAGCAGAAAACTAGTGGTAAACAGTACTAGAGCTTCTGTTCTCTACTAGATTGGGAGATTATTCCATGGTTTCCTCTCTTTCTATCTAGTTTCATGTATATTTCATTATTTCCCCCATTTTAATTATTTTCCTCTTAAGTTGTGGTGTGGATAAAAATATTGTCAAGTTTGTCATTCTCAGACATATTTTCCTCCATCTTTTAATCGACTGCACTCCATTACAGGTAGATATTCTGATAATGGTCATGACGTAGAGAATTGGAATATACTGACAAAAACATATTGCCACTTATGGATCTATAACTATCTTACTATTTATTGGTTATATTATCAATAAACGTTATGTTACTTGCAATAAGTTAGTGTCATCTGTGAATATCTTTTGACAAAAGATAAAACCAAATATCTTTTGTCTCACAGATGGCGGTATAGTTCTTCTCCCTAACATGAAAGAGATAGAAGAAAGGGTAACACAGTCTTTTCATATTAATTTTAATAGACTAGTGGCTACTATTGCTAAGCATTGAAAATGCTGGATAAAAAGAAAATACAACTTTAAAAAGTGGCCACCCCACACAATTTTTTCGTCCCCGAAGACCAGCTTTGTCATGAATGATTTGTAATCTTTTTTCTTTCTTTTTTCCTAAGAAGCGTACAGATAGCTAATTCGGTTATTATTGGTAAACTTTATAGTAATTGACGAATATTAGTAGTATTTTATGAATTAGCTAATATTGGTAGCATTTATGCTCTTAAAGGTCCCTAGATTCTTTTCGAGGGAAGTTGATCTTAAGCTTGGATCACGCACTATTTCTTAGGTTGGTGTATAAAAATAGCAATATTAACTTATCTCGGAATATTTTTGGCATTTCTATGTAGTTCGTTATAGTAACTAATTTTATAAGGAACTTCAAACAAACCAACTTTGGATATATTAGTCATGTATATACCTACCGTAAGCAAGCAGAGGCGGACTCAAGATTTTAACGCGAGTCTTTTAGTGTTCAAGGTACCAAGTTACTTATCATAATCATTTTCAAGGTATAGATACATACATATACAAGATTTCTATCGAAACTTACACATCCGGTGATCCCTCATTGTTACAAGTAGGTCCGCCTGTAAGTAATGACTTGAAAAGAAAATACGAAGAAATTCCCGGCAAATAGGACTCTCCTCTCGCTCAGCGATTCCATGGGTAATGCAGCTGATGTGGTGTTCTCGTCTTGCCTCCAACATGATCTTTTTCCATTCTCGAAAAAAAAAANACCAAGTGTCCTTAACTTTTGAACTTGTAACTGTAAGTTCGGGACCAAATGTCCTTAACTTTTGAGCTTGTTAGTCTAAGTTCAGAACCTATTGTCCTTAACTTTTGAGCTTGTTACTCTAAGAGGGTGTTTGGATGGGCTTTTAAGCTTGTCAAAATAGCTTTTAAGCTCTTTTTAGCTTTTTTCAGTGTTTGGCAAAGTCAAAAAAGTGCTTAAAATAAGTTTAAAACTGCTTAAAACAAGCCAAAAGCAATAAGTTGGTCAACCCCAACTTATTGCTTTTTGGCTTAAAAGCTATTTCTGCTGAAAAGTCACTTTTTTAAGTCAATCCAAACGGGCTCTAAGTTCAAGACCTATTGTCCTTAACTTTTGGGCTTCTTAGCCTAAGTTCAGGACCTATTGTCCTTAACTTTTGAGCTTGTTAGTCTAAGTTCAGGACTTCAGGACCTATTGTCCTTAACTTTTGAGCTTGTAAGTCTAAGTTCAGGACCACGTGTCCTTAACTTTTGAACTTGTAATTCTAAGTTCAGGACCAAGTGCCTTAACTTCTGAACTTGGAACTCGAAGTTCAGGACCAAGTGTCCTTAACTTTTGAACTTGTAACTGTAAGTTCAGAAGTTAAGGACATTTGGTCCTGAAATT